AGATTGCAAGCCTTCCCGGCGCTGATGGACATGATGATTTTCATCTACTGAACAAAAACAATCGTAATATGATAATGAATTAGTAGCCCTGTTTGTAGGAGTCACATCGTGGTCTGGGGATACTGAGATCCAGCCATGAGCTCACTATTTTTGCATGTAACTATGTTAATTTGCGCGGTTTGGCCGATAGCGTTTAAGTTGTAACGACTTGGTCGACCCGATGTTAATGGACCACACATTGAACTGGCTTTGGTAGAGACGGTTAAAAGCATGTGAAGCTGTGTTCAGACGCTAGCCAGTCGTTTTAGAACCTAGCTTTATTTTCTGTCGGTTTGTACTTCCGGGCGAACGTTGCACAGTCAGGTGCCACTTCCCAAGAAACTGCAAAACCAAACCACTGAAGCAATTTGCGAAACTGCTATAATCTTGTGGAAACCCTTAGCGGATTTGGCGAAAGCAGTTTGGTTTTCCTGAAAAACTTATCCAGAAAACTAGGAGGAGCAAACAGAAGAGAAGACGTCTTTCCCCTATCTGGAACAACGGCTTGGCCTAACCTTCAACGTGGCAATGCCGCCTGCTTTTTACAAGCAGTCGCTGACAGCAATAACTATCAGCGAAAACTCCATTTTAATTTTACGGACTCCGAACTATAGCTGAAAATTTTCTTAGTTCTTTTTCTGACCTTTAAACAATTTTGTAAAAATGTTCACACTTTTCTATTTCTGACAGTCTTAATTGACTTTTTCTGTATTACTTTTTGTTCTTGGTAGCTTAGAAGCTAATCAGAAGGTCAAAAGTATCATAGTAACCGAGGTTACAGTCAGGAGTCCCTTCATCACGTATTCCAGTCAAAATCCTTGGATTTTTCTAGATATGGAACTGATAATGATAAAAGAAGATGACAAGTGTTGAAGTCCTTTTCAATTAAAATCAATACGGGTTACGTTTCTTCAATAAGAACACGCAACTCGACACGAGAAATTATAATATACAAGTGTTACAAATAAAGAATTTCGTCGAAACTTATTTTGTCATTTATTGTTCCGAGTACTTAAGCGGCGTTCGCAATCTGTATTGCCGTACCTTAGACTAGAGAAGAGGGGAGGCAAGAGTCAGGTGGAGAAGGTCTGGACAAAGAAGCAGATTCAGTGACAATCGTGACTACGTCCCCAAGTAAAGGAGTGAGGACGAGGAAAAGGAAACGGGAGGTGAAAGAGGTGAGTCCATCGGCGGAGGCGGTATCGGAGACAATCCTGAAAGAGACGGCTCCGATGTTCTAGCGAGATAGAAGACAACAAGCTACAAGAGCAACTCGTTGGCCCGGAAATTGGCTGACGTACTAACCGAGATGGAAACCGCGACCAACCCGGGAACGGAAGAAGACTTCAAACCTCAAAAGTTGAACCCAAAGAGAGGCTCTTCCAGTGGACAAATGTGGGAAGTGGACATCGGCAAGGAATGGATCTCGAGTCAACACCAGAGCATTGGAAAACAAGTGACAAGTGACCCATTCGAGAAAGGGTTAACAAGAAACACCGCCCGCTCCTGGAGGATAGCCTTGGGGATTAGGCGAAAGAATTGAAAGCTGCCTGAAGAAACTGGATTGCGGAGTGTCCAAGAAGCGTCGGAACTGGGCCACCCATAATAGAGCCGAGGAGAACAATTTAGAGTTGAGAAGCCAGTTGGCCTGGCCGGAGTGGCTTGAGAAGAACTGACTTCAGGCGATAAACCAAACTTGGGCGATAAAGTCTGGATTGGGTCTGGCGAGGAGGAAAGATGCCACCTGCTTCTTGAGGTGGGACCATGTCAGTGATACCCGATGCTACCATCCAAGCCAGTTGCCAGAGGGCAACGGGAAGTAGAGCATTGGAGAAAAGAGTATCGAGTGCTATTTTGAACGTGTATCAGAGTACTGGAATTGAGAAGGATGATGATTCGAGGCAGTCTTCTGAGAACCACGCGAAAATCAACGAGGTCAGGCGAATCTCCAACAAGAAATTTAAAGAGAGTCATGACGTACATCGTAACTTGGCTTTAGCGGAGGATTAAACGAGACCCACGGAGCGCGGGAAGTATCAATATGAGTCTGGCATGATGGGAATATCGTACAATACTTTCTTGGTCTCGGAAGCGGGAGCTGCCTACATGAATTTTGAGGTCATGGAATTGCTGAAATTTTGGACGGGGAGAATCATTGAAATTGATGCGACTGACAGGGGAAAGCCGAGGTTGGGTTTGATTCTTGAGAAGGTACCTGAGGTCATCTGTGTGCCACGCTCTGTGAAGAAACTGGAACTGAGGCTAGGAGGTGAGGACAACGTACTGTCCACAAATATGGGGACAGTGTGGAAACTGCTGAGATCATCCTTTACCACACCCTCACGCGAACCTGAATGAAGAGGTCACGGAGCGAGTGAGGTTATCACCAGTGAAGGATGAGGAATTGGGAAACCTGAACATGATACACAAGTTGATCCTGCCTCATCGAGAAAAATCTAAAGAAGTCACGAACAAGTCAGACGAAACATCAAAGGAAATGGAGCCAGGAACATGTCTTGATATGGCAGCGGGAGGTGGAGAGCACTCTTGTGATGAAAGATCTTGCGTGAGGATAGAGTCATTTCAAAGGAAGAATCTAGCCACTTGGTTTGGTAACGTTACAGAAAAGGAGAAGAGTGAGGTGCAAACAGTGGCCGATTGTTACGCAAATACCACGGTGAATTTAGCGACGGCACTTTTTTGTCGAGAATGTGCAGTCTGGAGTCGCTGGAAAAGCTGGAGTCCGAACAACATCTGGTGACAGCGTTGAGTGTGGAGTCCTGGTCTGGAGTGCTGCAGAAGCATATCAGTGGATGGAGAGTCAGTCTGGAGGCAGAGATGGGGTTTCCAGTCTGTCGATGAATGCGAAGTCTCTGGTGGGATCAACCATGGCGAACTTGTGCGGAAGTCATTACCCGCTGCACATGGCGATGGTGGAAGCGTCCAGCCAGAGGGTGATATTCGATAAAGCTTTCTCTGTACCCAAGTGGTAAGTTTAGCGCGAACGTCACATCATTCGCATCGATTGTTACCAAAGATGCTGGGGTCCGTGCCAGGGAACCGAGAGGAGGACTTGAGTGAAATCTGTGGAGAAAAACTCGAGTTTGGAAATAGAGAACACTAGTGAATTTGAAAGGCAAAATGCGATTGGGAAGGTGACAAACAACACGCAAGCAGCAGACGAGATGGACGTGACAAACGCAAAAATGATGGAGTTCGAACCTTTACTCGAGGCTTCTGGAGAGTGTAACCTCTGAAGCATCAATTTGACGCACGGAGAGTACCCTTGTCACTGTCTGGCGCAGACTGTGTGGTAAACAGAGCAGTCCAACCTCTGTTTGATATGGGACATTGAAGAGATCCGGTCGATGGGATTACCTGACCGTCAACAGGAAGATTACTCTCGTCGTGGTGAGCTCAATGTTGACGTTGCGATGGATCGAGGAGAATATAACGAAATATCGGGAGTCAATGGCAACGACAGTTGAGCCGATACATGCTATTGACTATAACAGGAGGCTTGACTTGTTTGAGACTGCTTGAAAAGTACTCGCTGTACCCATGGAAGCGAGACACGTGTGGGTTCGCATAAGTTTCTTCTCATGGTTTCGAGCGACGCAGACCTCTTGGTTGTATAAGTTGACCAAATCTGAATAAGGTCGGACAAAAAAAATTTCAACAGAAATAGCTTATAAAAACCAAATTCAGGTTGCAGGTGTATGAAGATTTTGATTGCTGTTCAGCTTTGAAGTGACAATTCTGCATGGTTAAGTTTGGAGTTTGGAAAAACAAAATAAAATAGATCAGAAGATTCGAGCAGTAATTGAGTGAAAGTCGACGGCGTTCTTATTTCGAGAGTGGGGGTTATTTTGGTAGTAGCCTCTAAGCTGTAACACGGTTTGTAGTCACATGTCGCAAGTGAAGCGTATTGGCTCCGACCAGTTGAGGTAGAAAAACACAAGAGATAGTGTCCCTGACTCTTGAGCCAATGGTTATAGGGCCTAATTTTCTTGGCCTCAATTGTGACTCAAGTAGGCGACTGTTACAAGGGTAGGAACATTCTAGAATTTCGAATTTTCAAATTTTCGATTGGAACTGGAATATTTCTTAGAAATGCAAAAACGGCCAGTTTGTCTGGAAAATACAAGAAAATCACACGCCGAATAAAAGAGACGAAAAACAGTCTTAAGAAAACAGAAAAAGAACGAAGCCTCTCATCATAAGGACCAGACACGATAAGACGCTTAGCCGAATTAGGTCAGAAGAGAAGAAGGTTCCGTGGGACATCCGGAGCGGATCCGTACCCTCCCGTACCACGAGATTGGAGATATAACGACGTTATCTCTGAGGGAAGACGGAATTGGACCTCTGAGGGAAGACGGAATTACACCTCCATCGCACCCATGAATACGATCAGAACGTGATACAATTTGATAGTCAGAGTGAGGTAACACTTCACCATTAGAGATACTGACGTCTCACCACGTTTCACATAGGGATATGATAACTGGTTTCTCCAAAATCAGATAATGTAGAAGAGATAAATGTTTATCGTAACTGACAATACTTTAACGTTCAGACAATGCAAGCTGATCGCACCTAGTAATGATGTTAGTTCAACTTGGTTGGCCGTTATGAAACAACATTAGTCCTTTTATCCGTAACTGATTCCGAGGAGTGCAATTATTAATCACTTTTTTTAAAAAAAACACTAAATTACAAAAGGGGCCCTTCCGTTTAGTTACGGTAAGTGCACAAGCTGGATAGGGCCATACCAGCGATATAAAAATGCATATATATCAGCAATGAAGTCATAAATCAGCATTAAATGCATCGTCATAATGTTAATTTATCTTAGCCGTCCTTCCTCTACAATAGCGCTTATGGAGTTGTCGATAAATTGAACTTTGCGTAGCGATCTGCACCCCCTTATACATTATTAATCACTTGAAATCGCTTACATAAAACTTATTTTCCAGTTAAAGTTCTTCTGGCGACAAAGATTTAGAAAGATAGAGAGGAGAAGAATGGTTCAGCAAAAGATGTCCTTTGGCAAGAGATTTATTCGCAGTCCACTCGTTTGTGAATCGTACAAGTAAGAATCTTGGTCGGTTAGAAGTTGGGACATAGCGTCCAAGTAGAAAAACACTAGCTACATTTTTCTGGTAAAACTCATCAAGAGTTGTGAGAATCTTGTTAATCTCATTAGAATCATGGTTTATTCTGTCAGCGTAACCGTTAGTAGTACATTCAGGAACACCCTTGATACGAATTTCAGTCAACCGTGTTAACTCATGTGTTTCAAATCTCGTAGTTGCCAGCTGCTGGCGTACATTTTTCTGAACACCAGGTTCAATGTCATTTGCACATCAGTTTTGAATTTTATTTGTAACGGTAATACAAAACTCTGATACGTAATGAAGCTTGGGAATAGCATCTAGAGAATCTAACACCAAATCAGCGATAGTTGAGCATCGTTTGTGGATCCATCGACTGCAATGTTCACACTCGATTCACTTGCTGTCCTTGTTTTCCCCAGCGTTACACTTTCGACATAGTCCCTCGTTTGCTTGCGATGCCGAGGAACAAGAGCCGCCACGGCGACCCTTCGGGTTTGTCATCAACTCTGGAACTATTTAATAAAATTATCACAACCATTAGGCTAAAAGCGAACGCTGCTTGCTACTACTACTACTACTAAAAGAATTTATTCCCTTTAAAATATAAAGGCATCAAACAAAGGAAACGGTATGATTATGTACACAAGACATCACCAACGGCAATTTATGCAATGGCAACAAAGTAGCATTGAACAAGAGTTGTTTAAGTTGAACATATCAATTCTATTTTTCAGATAGATTTTCAATTTTGCTTTGAAAGTTTCAGGCGATGAAAAAATGTCGGCTATGTTGTTTGCTGAAATCATGTTGGCATACCGACAGACGCGATAGAAGAAAAATTGCTCTGTAAAGAAGAGTCGACAATTCTGGGTTGTTGAAAGCATAGGGCGTGAGCTATTGCGAAGGTCTTTGGCTGCAAAGGTAAAATTTATGTATCTGTAAAGGTCGAAATCAAATTGATCAGTCAGGACTCGATTAAGAAAACACATATCATGTAAAGCTATAGTGAAGGAAATTGGCAAGGAATTCGTTTTTCTAAGTTGTTCTGTATAGTCGTTCACTCCCGTTACCCATTTCAAACATTTTCTGTTAAATAATTCTAGTTTGCGGCGATATGTTAAAGATGGAAACCAGACCTGACTACCGTATAATAAAATACTCATAATACATAGCTGGTAGTATTTAAATTTGGTTCTCAAGGATACTCCATAAGGGATTGAACGTTTTAAGAAATGGAAAGCTTTGTTAACTGCGACCAGTTTGGTTTTAATGTGGATATCCCACTTTAAATCACTAGATATCGTTACTCCGAGATCTTTGATAGAAGAAACTGACGGAATTAGGTAATCCTTAAGGCAAAGAGTAGATTTGGGGGAAGTTGATTTAAAACAAATAACTTTGCATTTATCAGAATTAAAGGTCATTTCGTTTTTAAGCGTCCAATTGATAAATAGATCAATGTCTATTTGAACTAAGGAAAAGTCATATTTTGAATAGAGTTTGCTGTCATCAGCAAACAGAAAGCAATTAGAGGTTTTCAAGACATCTGGCATGTCATTAATGAAGAGTATAAATAGCAAAGGGCCGAGTACACTTCCTTGCGGAACACCACTGTTACATGGCCTTTTGGAGATGTTTTATTGTTATTTAAGACAATTTGAGTGCGGTTTGTGAGATAGGAAGCAAAATTTCGAGAAAGCTAATGTCAAAGCCTAAATTACCAAGTTTCGAAATAAGTATATGATGAGGAACTTGATCAAAAGCCTTGCGAAAATCGAAGTACACAGAAAGACATTCGTTTTTTGCCTCGACGTCGTTATAAATCTGATCTAGCTATTCAAGAAACTGAGTAACAGTCGATCGCTTGGTCATAAAACTATGTTGATTAGGTGTAACTTTAGCCCGAATTTTAGGATAAATGAAATCGAAGATCATTCTCTCCAGAATAATCGATAATTGAGGCAATATGCTAATCGAGCGATAATTTTCAACATTTTTGGGATTACTAGATTTAAGAATTGGCGTAATAAACGCACATTTCCAAAGTTCTGGCCACGTTTTAGTTTCCAAAACCTTGACAAAGAGCTGCACGACCAGAGGAGATTTTAATTCACTGCAGCAGTTAAGAATAAAGGTTGGGAGGCGGTCGTTGGTAATACAAGAAGTTTTAGCAAATTCGAGAGCTTTCTCGACCTTTTTAAGGTTGACATGGAGATCGGATAGAAAAATGGTGGGTTTTTCGGGTTGTAGGATTTGAATTTCGTGCTTTTCTGGAAACACTGAACAGAAGTAATCGTTCAAAAGAATGGCTATTTCAATAGAAGTGGATGCTTTTCTATTCATCCAGTGCATTTGGTTTGGTAGTTTCCTTTTGGTAAAAGATCGAAGGTATTTAAAGCAATCACGGGTAGAATTTGATCTTAAAGATTCAAGGAGACAAGTTTTATCCAACTCGATTGAATTGTTAAGGTCTTGTTGGATCGAAGCTAAATGATTTGTGTTGGCTGTCCGTTTAGATATGGAATGGTGCTTATTCAGTAAATGAACTGTATGCGACGAATAGTAATAGGGAAGTTGCTGGCGTCTTTTAGTTTTATGTGCGCAAGTAGTATATGTGTGAGGTGATCAGGGGGGGGGGGGGGGGTGGGTGGAGACCCCCATGTATTAAGATAGGGATTAGAGTATCCGGTCTCCAAGCTATGTATTAAAATAGGGAATAGATTTTCAATGTATTAAGGTAGAAAATAGGTTTACCATGTATTAAGATGGTAGGTTTCAGATGGTAAGTTTCAGAAAAATTTTTGGCGCCCGATCTTACCATTTTTTAAGATTCTCTACACCAATGCGATAGGTTTTAGATTTTTTCATTGTATTAAGATATGATTTTTATTTTGCTTTAAACCATTAGAGTTTAAATTGAAAGTGTCTGAAACTATGCTGAAACCTAACTGAAGCTTCAAAGAAGAAATAAAGTTTTTCAGAAAAAAAAATTAAATTACTGTTAATTGCTATATTACAGTTGAAAAGTTGAATAACATATAAATCCTTGTATGGTATGAAATTTTACTACAGTTTATAGAATAAACTTTTAAATTCAAGGGCATAGTATGTATTCCATCATTAAGTACCTCCCTTTTCGGGTAAAAGTAACTGAGTCCTTTTTTAGTTTGTTCATATATTCCAAATAAATGGTTGGAGGTTTTGAATCCGCGATTGGTCGACTTCAAATTTATAGCTTTGTCAAGAACTCGTCTGTATTTAGACATTGGTCCATCCCCAGTGTCTTCTAGCGTTCTTTTGTTGATTCCTTTGCTGCTAAATTTGAATTTGTCGCTCTTACTATCATAGCAGCAATACGTCTTGCTGCTCAGGCACAACATTTCAGTACAGCGAAATTCTTCTTTGAATAATCCAGGTTCTCGTTTATCATGCTTTTTGTGAACAGCGCAGCATGTACGTGGAAAAAAATTCTCATCTGCATCAGCTATAAAGTCATCTCTACAATCATTTCGACGAATAAGTGTCCACTGAGCTTTCTTCTCTGGTAATATACAATCGTCCAGGTTATCTTCTGCTAATGCTAGATACAAAGAGTCCGTATCCATCTCCAACTCCTTGAATTTATTCTCATCGCAATACTTGTGGAAGAAGTTGTAGTATAACTCCAACATTCTAAGTTTGGCGTATTGAAGAATGAAAAAACCTACAATAATTGGTTCTCTATGTTCAATTGTTGACTTCAATAGTTCTACTTCATGTAAGTCCTTTTTCACAATATTCAATCGCTTGAAAAACTTCTCATTTATTGCTTTGTGTGTCTTCTCATCGCCGAGATATTTGGTTATCGTGTGTCTGGATCTGTCCATAATTTGATAACCGTACGAACTGTTACCGAGAAGCTTCGTCGTCTCAGCAACAACTCCAGAATGTGGATTCTCGTCTCCTTCTCGTCGAGCATCAACAACAGATTGAACAAATTTGTTGAAACATTTCCTAGGTGTGTACTCAACAAATCGATACATTTTTGTACATTGAAGTCCAAGACCTTCCTTCTAAGTTCTTACCTTCCTTCTAGGTCGTACAAGAGATCTGTTCTTTATTTTTTCAAGTAAAGAATCAGTAGACAGAGGTCTTTTGTAAGGAAAATTTGTCTTGACATGATTCTTGATTGACGAGTCTGTTTTGAAATGCTTCCACTACTCACACTCCCACATTTCCTGAATTTTGTAACCTCTTTCTTTTATGTACTCTCGTCTCAACTCATCCATTTCTCGCTTCTTATTTCCCCTTTCAATATCTTGATCTGATAACGATGGACGGGTTTCTTGACATGAGCAGAAATGATAGTAGCAACCCATAGCTTCAAATACTGTTTTACAGTGACCACAGTAACCATCAACATGAAAACAGTCAATTTTTTTCTGCTTTCCGGTTGGGTAAAAACTCTGAATTTTACACTCTGGTCTCAATTCTTGATAAAAGGACATAACCATGTTCTCGAAATTTTTTGTTCTGTTATTTCTAGCTTTAAAACGATCAGTTTCAGAGTCACGCTCCCATCTTGTGTAAAATCCGGTTGGCATCTCTTGACACATTGAGAATGGATATAATTGGCTAGCGTCAATTCCAACAATTGTCTTACAAATATTTGACGAGTTACGAATATAAGTTTGATCGACAACAGCTTTTCGCGTAAAAACTATTGATGGAACACCAGTCATGTCTTCTCTAATTTTCTCACATAAATCTTTATCTCCTTCAAAGTACGGGTAAAATTTGTGATTTGTCGACTTGTGTAAGCAGATATTTGCGAGATTTGGAAGCGTGCATCCCAGTTTCAGCATGTCAATTCCCTTATCATGGTAAAACTCTATCATTTTTTGCATAGCTTCAAGAGTAGAAACAACATCTTTGTTGTTGTACCATCGTAAGAATTCTTTGAAAGTAATCGTGCTTTGTTGTTCCCAGATTTTTTTCAAATACGAGTAATTTTCAAAACCTGTTGGTGGAATTGATTGAATACGCAACTATTTCAGCGCACTTTGTTGATCAAGTCCTCCATTAACCAGTTTTTGGTAATCGTTGAAATCCTTCTCGAGAGGGTTGTGGTTTCTCAGTTTGCTGAAAAAGGTTTCATATGGAGGCAACTCCGTGCAGTCAAGCTTGTCTGGACTGTCAAACCATTCGTAAGGGAAAAAAATCTTTGGTCTTACTTGCTTTATAGGCTTTCAGAAACGAATCCAATGTTGTTGACCCTCCAAGAAATTTCATTATGTCCAAAAACTGAACATCTCCAGATTTGAATGATATGAAGTCATTTGCTTTTTTAATGACTGTTGGTTCGATTTCTTTATCACATATAAAGTATGGAATCAAATAAGATTTGATAAGGTTCAGATCGTATCTGCCGCTATTGAAACCGAACACCGGTAAGGTATTAACATAACGCTCTAAATGCTGTTTCAAGTCGATCAACTGATTTTTTTGAATTCTCAAGAATTGTGTTGACATGTCATCTTCGTCGCCATCCTC